TATAGCATCCAGTTTGCAAAAGGATGGCTGAGAGAAGCCTGGTATGTATTTTCCTGGTACGTCACACCTATAGGCAATACACTGGGGGTGTTAGGGATGGAAGGGATTTACAGGTCATGTAGTTGGAACTCATCATCTTACTGATGAGAAAAATGTGTGGTGATGTGACCTACTGGGTGGGATTCAACCCAGGTTTCTGTGCATCAGCTGAGTACACTCTGCAGCCGCTGCTCTGTGAAAACACCCATGATTGTGAGAAGTTGAGCCCCTGAGTTTGACAGGGTCTGTGAGTCTAAGTCTCTGTGGGATAGAAGGACAGAAGTCTGAGCAGCCTGGGACTCTGCATTCCACCAGGCCTGCTGATTCCGGGAGGAAACAGAGCAGTCATCTTGCACACTCTGTTTCCCGAGCAACACTGAAGGCATCGAGGCAGGTGCACCAGACATCTGCTTCCTACTCTCCATCAAGGGCACCCTGAGCCTCCACTCTTGCATTTTAGGGAGAAGCCATCCTTGCATTGCATCCTCTGTGCATTCCTATCCAGGGGTGTACATTCATTTATTTGTGAAACATGTATGATATGCTGAGCACAGGCTATGTGCCAGATACAGTGCTGGACCTTTCAGAGAGAACAATAAAAGCACAGTACGGGGAAGAATGTTATAAATGGAACCCCAATGGTACAAACACAGAGTGAGAATTAAATTATATTTATTGCATCTAGCTAGCTAGCTTGAAGTTACATTCAAAGACTTTAGATTCACACAAAATTATTGCCGCCAGCCAAATTCTCACCAGCTTGTCCCACGTTTTCTAGTCATGAAGATGCCATTGGAAGCAACTTGGAAGAATTAGAAACCTGGTGTTACTATGTACAAACTGAGTGACCTTGAGCAAATTCCCCAATTTCCGTGATCATCAGTTGCTCTTTCTTCAGCAAGCTTGACAGCACCTGTCTCACAGCTTTGTCAGAGCTCTAAGATGATGCATGAGTGCAGAGCGGCCGAGAAGCAAGTCACTTCCTCTCTCCGTGCTTCCCTGTCTTTGCTCGTAAAATCAGCATAATAGAATCCCTGTCAGGCAATTGCTGTGGAAATTAAATGAGATGATGATGTCTTCAGTACTAAATACATTTTAGTTATCCTACAAAAGTGTCCTATGAACTGTAAAATGTTAGATAAGAATAAAATACTATTAACTATTAAAGTTAAGCTCAGGGGCTTGCCTGGGGGCTCAGTCAGCTCAGCCTTGGCCTCTGGCTCAGGGCCTGATGTTGGGGTCTTGGGATCAAGTCTCCGCTCAGCAGGGGCCCTGCTCTCCCTCTCCCTCTGCCTGCTGCCCTGCCTACTTGTGCTCGCTCTCTGTCAAATAGATAAATAAAATCTTAAAAAAAAATAAATAAAATTTAGCTCAGTCAAAAGGAGAATCCCAGGATCAGAATCATCCCAAGGTGCTACATATCCAGGTGATTGGATAAAACAGTCAGATTTCAGATTTGGTGCTGTCCGGAAGGTCACATAGATGGCTCTGCTCGGGTTGTGATGTCATAGATCTGCCCAGCTGAACATAGGCTTCTTTTCAGACCCTCTTCTCTCCACTTTCTTTTTAGATCACTTTTCAAAGAGTAATTTCTAAGGTATTTATTTTAGTCCTGTTTACGTAGAAAAAAATGGTAAAATGACACCAAGTTTTTCTGTCTCAGTCTGCTTATTCGTCCTATTCTTTAGTGCAGGAAGGATGATTTTCCCTGTCCTTGAAATGTTGTGTCCTCAAACTGAGACTGCACAGCACCAAAACAATTTGAAACCTAAAGGGTGATCTGGGTAGAGAGGATGTAATTACCCACCCAAATGTGAAATTACAATAAGAAGACTCACTATTCTTCTCTTTGGGTTTGAGCCCATCACTCTTTATGGGTGCTAAATTACTTCTTCCTCAGTAACCATTGGAAATTGACTGGCAAGCATTCTTTTGCCCCTTTTTTTGAGATGGTTCAACTCAGATAAAAAAAAAATCCATTGGAGACTTTATCTTATTCATTCAAATGACCCATTTTCAAAACAACCACTTTGGGGGGGGGTTAGAATTCACTCAATTTCTATTTATACAATAGCTTGCATGTGGAAACAAAACTTAGTATCTCAGTTGGTGGAAGAAAATAAGCCTGATTAAAATATTAGCACTCCTCAAATCCAGACTTGTTCAGTCAATAGTAAGCTAGAGTGTATGAAGAAGGTATTTAGCTTAAGTCTGCAGGAGGAAAATGACTACCCATGCTTTTTAATTATTGGCCTTATGATTTTTGAAATGCAAAAAAGAAGGAAGAAGAGGAAGAGATGAGGAGGAGAAGAAGAATCTTGTTGCAAAGTATGGACAGATTCAAGTGAGCGTCAGTTGAAAATTCCAGCTACAGTCATCCAAATAAATATGCATGTCCGTGCCTGTTGCATAGTTAGGACACAATTACCCTGGTTTTCACATTTTCTAGTGAAGAGTGCTATTCTGACTTAGCTGTCCTGGAAACACCTGCTCTGTTGTGTAATATTAATGAACTTGAGTTTGAAGCTGCTAGCTCTGTACCTCTCTTTGTGAATAATAGGACACACATAAATGATTAAAATAAGGCAACCAGAAGCCTGATCCTGCCTGGCCTCCTTGGGATCACATTCATTTATCAGCCCACCAAGGTCACTGACCTTGATTACCCAGAGCCTAGCTACTAAAATGATTAATTGATCCATTCTCTCATTTCACTCATTTAATTTAGGGGTAAGGGAGAGAGCAAAAATATTTTTGGGACCAATCTTACTTCATTTGCTGCATCCTCTAAAGTATTTATTAATGGTAATGAGAAGCATCAATATAGGTTACAGCAGAGAGAAGAATAAACAAAGCAACCATAGCTCTTCATAAACATCTACCTCATATTAATTAACTTGTGATCCCAAGTTTAAACCTGTACAAGTCTCTATACCATTCTAACTTCAAAAGGTGTGTAGGTGTATGAATTGAAAGACTATACGGGAAGATATGGAGTTCTAATTTTATTTCTGCAAAAGAAATAATTAAAGAATTTTTTTAAAGATTTTATTTATTCATGAGAGACACACACAGAGAGAGAGAGAGAGAGGCAGAAACACAAGCAGAGGGAGAAGCAGGCTCCGTGCAGGGAGCCCAGTGTGGGACTCAATCCCGGGTCTCCATCCCGGGTCTCCAGGATCACAGCCTGGGCGGAAGGCGGGGCTAAACCGCTAAGCCACCAGGGCTGCCCAATTAAAGAATTTTTAATGTGTTTAGTTTTATAATTACTGGAGAACTCTAATGTTGAGTATTACATCATTTTTCTCAAAACTTCAAGGCAAAAGTTGTCCATCAGAAGTTTCTTGGAAAAAAAAGGTTTCCTACAAATGATATTGCTGTCTTCTTCATGCAATAATAAGCATAGAGAATATAATAAAAGCATATGTATAAACTAATTAATTTTCATTATAGGAAACAAGTAATCAAAGGATTAACTTATTCTAACCTTCTGGACAGCATCATACAATATTGTAAAATGATTAAAATGGATTCTACTCAAAGTATATTGATAAATATTTAACAACTGCGTGGGGGATGGGAGCCCTGATTTGTTGTTAGTACAACCACTGGGACTGATTTCAAGCTTTCATGTAAAGTCGGTGAACACAGAGTTAGGAAGAAATGTGCTCTAATATACCACTGTATGATATTTTCTTCATACAGAATCTGCCAGATTGAGCAAATAAGAAGCCAGAATGCCCAGCTGAATCTGAATTTCAGGTAAACAACAAATAATTGTTTTAGTATTAGGATATCCATATAATATTTGGGGCACAACCATACTAAGAGATTTTCCATTGTTTATCTGAAATTCACATTTAACTGGGCATCCTAGATCTTATCTGACAATCCTGATGTAGACACTACAGGAGTAAAGAACCTCACGTGCATAAATAAGAGTAAAATGTAATGACGAGTCTGGAGTATTTATTATCTTTTTTTAATATAATTTAAATTTTGAATTTATATAATCTGCTTTTCCATAATGACTCTGAGTATGCAGAATTCCTGAAAATTTAACAATCGGTCTTTGCAAGTCAGTTCTAGTACACTTCTGATATTTTACATAAAGTTGTAATAGAGTTCACCAGAATTAGACTTTGAAAACATGATGATACAGAGTTTAATGTTTAAAGTGTATCTCAGCTCATAGTACTACTACAATTTTCAAATACCTTATAGACATGGCTTCATTAAATTTCACAGGAAGTAAATTTCATTGCAACCAAACTCTCCCAACCTCCACCCCACCCTCCAAGCCCCACTCCCCTGGGAAATTTCTCTGTAGCAAGGAAGAGTACATTTTTAAACTTCTTTCTTTCCATATTTAGGGATTTGTGTGGCAGCTGGCCCTCTTTAGAACTGAGTGATCTTAATGAAAAAGCTCTAACTTCAAAGCTTCTACTATTTTTCTATGGGGCTAAAGGGTGGGGATCTAGAGTAGAAGGTCCTTCTGTTCTTGTGTTTAGCTGAGCACTTTGATCAGATGTTGGTAATGCAAAGATAAGCCTGGAATTTTGCTTGGGGTAAAGGTGAAAAGTCAGCACTAATCCACAACACAGTAAGTAAATAGGGTTGGGAGTGTGTAGGTTTGCAGTTAGGGGAGAAACATGATGCAGATGAGCTCTAGAGACCAGGCCACTGAGGAAGCCAAAACAACAGTTTATCTAATTGTGTTTTGTTTTGTTTGTTCTTTCTTTTTATGCAGAGGACCACATAATCATAGGCGCCTGATCCAGGGGCACAGAGATGGACCTGGCTGTTCCAGTGTGGGCTTCTGGGGCCTCTGTGCCACCTCCTTTAGCTTCACAACACACCCACCCCTCTTGCCCTGTGTGCTACTAGTAGGGTTCTTCCTCAGCCTCAGGGAGCCAACTAAGTGCAGCTTTCTTTTTCAGGTAATAGACTCCGTGAGGGTTACAAATATGGAGCACTTCGCAAATTTGCTTGTCATCCTTGCACAGAGGCCATGGTAATCTTTGTATCATTTCAATTTTAGTGTATGCCCTGCCAAAATGAGCACCAGTTTATCTAATTTTTAAAAATTAAATAGATATATACATATATGAAACAGATGTCTTTCACTGAGTCAAACATTATGCTCAAAGGCATTTTTAAAATCAACTCATTTTTTTGAACATTTGGAGCATTCCTATTTCATGGTAAAAACTTGCAGTGTGAATGACCAATCGCCCCATATCTATATTATTTTCTATTAGACTAGGTTTCGTTTTAGGTTTTCTTTAAGTGAGGAACCCTCAGTACAAATGCTTTTTCCTATTTATACATTCATATATGATCTAATTTAATTTTTATTTAATTTAATTAACATTTGCATTAAATGTTAATTTCAGAAGTCAAGGGAGAACATAAAGGTAGATGCTAGCTATAGCACTAAAAACAGTAGTCTGCATTTTTTGTCCGAACATGTACCTGACAAAGACTTCTGCATAAAAAACTGCAAATTTGGATATCAGTACTGGTAACTATCTAGAAAGTTCTATAATCTAGTTCCTTTTTCTCATTTCTGATATTAGGAAGTTAGTTATATGGCAAATAGGAACAGTTATTAAACATGTTTGCAGTTTCTTCAAGTACTTTGGTAACAGAGAAGTATTCCTACAGGGTCTTCATTTTTGTTTATAAACTTTTTTTAGTTTCCAAATTGAGTTCTGACTATACCAGAAATCTGTTATATTATTGGTAATAACTGAGCTACACAGCGCAGCCCAGGTGGCTCAGTGGTTTAGTGCCTCCTTCCACCTAGGGCATGATGCTGGAGACCCGGGATTGAGTCCCACGTCGGGCTCCCTGCATGGAGCCTGCTTTTCCCTCTGCCTGTGTCTCTGCCTCTCTCTCTCTCTGTGTGTGTCTCTCATGAATAAATAAATAAAATCTTTTAAAGAAAGATAATTGAGCTACACAGAATTAAATCATTGCACTAGTATAACCACTTAATTAAACTGGTATTGACTAGCTCAAAGGTGCATCCTAAAATTATTTTTAAAGATTATATCATTTGTCAAATTCTCTATATTACCTCAACCAGTGATGAAAATTAATCTCCTACATTTTACCATTCTAAAATGAAATTGAATGTATTTCCATTTTTTTCTCAGTGATATTGAAGATGCACAAATCAAAGAGAGATGGTAAATTTGTCCCAAGTATAAATATGAAACTAATTCAAAAGTTTAAGCAAAATATTTCATAGATAGTTATGGAATAAATAAAATACTAGATATGTAAGAGAAAGTAAAAAGAAATTATTATAACCAAGAATTGTTCTCATTTGTACATAATAGAGTATTATATTGTTGCTGTTGTTATTTGCTCCTATTAAAAATAAATTATTGTATTTGAGATTTTGTCTCATTCTTACATAATGCAGGCTTCTTGTGGTTTCTATTGTTATTTGTTCCCATTAATTTTTACTTAAGCCCACTGGAGAGGTTGTAGCATTTTTGATCACACAATAAAGAAAAGGTCACCAAATCATACCAAAGATCTCAAGTTCACCAGCCAGCTGAGTAGCTTTGGCAAGTCACTTTGCTTCTCTGGGTCTCAGTTGTCTCCCTCAGAGAATAAAAAGTTGCAGTATATATTTCTTAAGCTTCCTTTCCAAAATTATAAAATTCCTGCTTAAGGATCCTGTGACTCTGCCCCTAAATATTAAAACAGAAGAGCAGATACTTCGAATGACCCAATTGCCTGTCGACAGTTCAGATGGTGAGTAAGACTTCATCAGTCCTTTTTCAGTTCCGTGTTATTAGATAAATATCTCAATTTTTTCTTTAATTGAAACTTGATAAGAATTGAGAATATTAATAAACGCTAACATAACAGGGTTGTTAGGAAGAAAGTTTCCATATTTTAAAGAAAATTATAGATTTCCATTTTAACACCAGAGCAATGGATTTGTTACCTAGTCACCAGTGATAGAAATTACATACTTTACCAATTTGATTTAAAAATAATATGTCAATTTAGGGAGGCCTGGGTAGCTCAGTCGGTTAATTGTTGGACTCTTGGTTTTGGTTTTGGCTCAGGTCATGATCTCAGGGTCATGAGACAGAGTCCTGAATCCAGCTCCATCTAGGTGTGGAGCCTGTTTAAGATTCTGGCTCTCAAAAAAAAAAAAAAAAAATATTCTGTCTCTCCCGCTCTCTCCCTCTTCCCCTTGTGAGCTCTCTCATTCTCTCTCAAATAAATAAATCTTTAAAAATAAAGCAAAATAAGATAAAATAAAAATAATATGTCAACTTAAAAATTTGCAAGGGGGGTGTGTTTTTTCAAAATTACTTCAGGGAATACACCAGAAAAAAAGTAGACTGCTGCCCTAAACAGTCTTATTTTGTTCAGTGCTTTATTCCTAATCCCAAACATAATACTAAATCCTCAGTGAATCCTGAAGAAAACTACTGGGAAACAAAGGAGACCTTGGAGAAATTTCCCAGAAAAGTAAATCCTTACTTATTCTTTGCCGCCTAGTATACAAGCTGCCCCTCAACAGTTGGTAAGCATTTTTATATTCTAGGAGTCTCTTGTGTTTGGGATGATACACTTTCCCACCATTTTGTTTACCCCTAAACACACACACACACACACACACACACACACACACACTGATAAGAAAGAAAGTCCTTGACTAAGCAGGTCATCCAGTGCGTCATCACAGTGTCCTCAAAGCTCTGTGACCAAGGCATGGTAGTTTAGAAGTCTGGAACTCAGTCCTTTACCCTCCAGCTGAGGAAAGGAAGGGAATACAAAATAGAGCTCTGCAGGAAAAAGTGAAACACTGAATAAATGTGAGGCAGTTAGAAAAATAATTATTTTTCCTTGTGAATTTACATGGATGAATTCCAGGTGTCTGTAAATTCCAGATAAATCTCTTAATATTTGTGTGTTCGTAAAATTATATCTAAAAAAGTATATATTACCAGATATGTTGATGGGTTTTCTTTTACAGTGAACTAGCATTTGAAAGCACTTTTCAAAAAATAAGATGTTTTTTTTCTTAAGCCAGTATTTTTCCAGCTATAAATCCCCTAGAATTAAAGGTCATTTATTTTCTGCTTTTAAAACTGCTATTTTATTCAAGTCTAGGGGTGAAAAGGCAAAATGCAAAGTCTTAATTCATTGACAAGCATCTTTAAAAAATTAATTTCCTCAGTGCAGGATAATGGTTTTATCCTTTAAAAAATATTTTCCTAACAATTTCTCTTTTAGTAATTTGTCTGGCAGAAAAATATCATATGACTACATAAAGATGTTCAACATACACTGCAGAAAAAAATTACAGAAAAATTGGGAAAACTTTTATAGTTGGTACAATATGCAGTTTAAAAGAATAAAGTAGAAATATGTTTGTTGACACTAAAATATGTTATAGTCAATAAGGAAACAAATTGCAGAGAATATACATAACACAGCACTATTTTTGTTAACAAATAAACATGCAAACAAAGAAGTCAATGTGTGCAGAAAAACTTGGAAGAATGTATACTAAAATATTAGTTATACTTACATTTGAGTAGTGGAGTTGGAATCAGCTTAGGAGAAAATAACACTTTTTATTTTATAAGTTCCTATATATAAATCTTTACTATGAATAAGTATTATTCTTGTAATGTAAGCCCACAATCACTCACACAAAACACAATAGAGTTAAAAATACAATTTTTGGAATAAAGGAATACATTTATATCCTTTGTAGATTATTTTAACTAGAAAAACCCAAAGAATTAATTGAAAACTCCTAAAATTAATAGGACAGGTTGATAAAGTAGCTGTTTATAAGATACATAATCCTCTAAAATTAATCTTATCAATTTTCCAATCATGACCAGCTAAAAAGTATAATGTACTTTCTTTTTTCCACTATCCATTCCATGGTTTCTTTGCCCTATCCAGAATCTCATCTAATTTTCTTTTCCTGGTGGAATGACCCAAACTTCATTTCTGAAAGGTTTGAATCCTCAGTGATCCTGACTTACTGTGAGTGCTATAATTTTCCATCAACTTTACTTTGGGACATGAGAGTACTCAAAGATAGCCCAGAGAATCCCCTAGCTTCCACACACAGGCCTTCAATGCTTAGCAGTAACCCAATTTCCTCTTGGTAATTAGGATAAATCACCCTAGTTCTTGGACTAATTCCCTTCTTTTTCTTTTGGCAAAATGGCATGAGGATTCCAAATTGGCCAGGTGGCAGTCTTGTCTTCCAATTTAGCACAACTGTTGTTGTATTCCCAGTAGACTGTTCTTCTCTTGGGAAGCAAGACCTTCAAACCAGCAGATCTTCTAAGTACAAGGATAAGAAGCAAAAATTCTGCAAGTAGATTATAAACCAAAACACAATAACTTACTGAATAGCCCAAGTGTTAAGTGAACAAAAAGAATAAAAGATATATACATTCTAATTAATACAGTAGAGAAAAAAAAAATGGAACCATGCAGCGATATCAGGATATTATAACAAAGGGATATTCAAAGAATACTCAGAAAAAAGATCTTGGAAATTAAAAATAAAATAGAAGAAAAATATTTTCATTCAATAAAAGAGGATGAAGATAAATCTATGGCAATCTCACAAAAAGCAAAACAAGAAAATTAAAAGATACAAAATGGAAGAGAAAAGGTAATAAAATTAAAGGACTAGTCCAAAAATCCATCATCCAACTGATGAAATTCCAGAAAAAAAATAAAGAAAGAAAGAAAGAAAGAAAGAAAGAAAGAAAGAAAGAAAGAAAGAAAAAAGAAAGAAAGAAAGAAAGAAAAGGAAACAATGGAAAAAACTTGACAAAATATTTTTTTTAATTTTCAGAACTAAAGAATGTGAGTTTCTTAACTGAAATAGCCCACTGAATGGCCTTAATAATAAAAGAAAATAGATCCACACTAAAGTTCATCATTAATTAGTGCAGAAACCTGAAACAAAAAGATCCTAGAAGCTTCCAGGAGAGAAAAAGTCACATAAAAAGGTCAGATAAGACAATTCTACTAGTGACACAAAGTTATA